GGGGAGTAAAACAGGAACATTCAGCCTCCTGAAAATGGACAGCTATGTGTGCGCTGTCACCTTTCAAGACATGGCCTCTAAGATCCACTGTCTCACATCCTGAAATTCTGGCCGGCGGACCATGAAACACCTAGTCGGGTCTATCTGTTGGATGGCAGGTGACCCATGTTACAGACCAATTTGCGTATCATCTGGATTCACATCAGCATGGCAGTGAACTTGGAGGTGTAGTTTATAAATGGGCAATTAAGTTACGCTAAGAGCATTCATGTGGGCCCTGAGCCAATCTGACTGCCGTGGAAGAGGAGAGGAACAAAGACACACACAGGAGAAGCCAGTTCCTGTAAACCAAGGACGGAGGCCAAATGCTGCTCTTAAAGGCGCTCCTCTCAAACGGCTTCTTTAAAGAAATATTCATTCTATTTTTTTTAAAGAGTTTTTAAAAAAAACTTGTGGGGGCTGGAGAGATAGCTCAGAGGTTAAGGGCACTGGCTGCTCTTCCAGAGGTCCTGAGTTCAATTCCTAGCACCCACATGGCACCTCACAAGTGTCTGTAACTCCAGTTCCAAGGGATCTGAGACCCTCACACCAATGCATATGTAATAAAGTTAAAAAGTTATTTTTAAAAAGACATAAAATTTTCTGTGTGTGTGCGTGTGTGTGTGCGTGTGTGCGTCTGCCTGCATGTGTGTATGTGCACCACGTGCTTGTCTGGTTCCTAAGGAGGCTAGACGCGCGCACCGGAGGCCCTGGAACTGGAGGTTCCATGTAACATGACTGTGACATGAAAGTGCTGGAGATTGACGCCAGGTCCTCTGGAAGAGCGGCCAGTGTTCCCTTTGCTTTGGTTTGTTCTCTCCTGATTTGTTTTCTGGGACAAGGTTTCTCTGTGTAGCCCTAACCCTAGCCCTGGCTGAACTGGGCCTCACTCACTCTGTAGACCAAGCTGGCCTCGAATTCGGAGACCCGCCTGCCTCCAGGAGCAAAGGCGTGCGCCACCACGCCCAGCTTCAGCAGCCGGAGCTACTAACTGCTGAGCCATCTCTTCAGCCCTAATTTTTTTTTTTTAATTTATTGATACATGTGGGGGAAGAGCATGCATTCCACTGAGTCTAAGAATGTGGAGGTCAGAGGAAAGCGCTCTAGGGCCCGTTCTTTCCACCATCAGCATCCCCGGAATTGAACTCAGGTCATGGCTCTTGGTAACAAGCATCTTTCCCCCACGAGCCACACCTCAGGCCCCAAGCTTCCAAACTGGTAGCATGTGACTGTGTTCACGAAGCCAGCCCATTCTTCAGGTCACCAGAGCAGATGAGCTCCACCAGAAGGGAAAAGCAGAATGCCAGGATGGCGAAACAACGCTGTCTTACAGTAACCTTGGAAGCCTGGGAACATTTGATCTTTGGGGCAGACAATCTTCTTCCCGCCCATCTTCATGCCCCCTCCCTCCTACTTCTAGCTCTCTGCTCCTTTCCAAAACTCAGGGGAAACTAAATGAATCAAGGCAATTTAGAACAAACTCTGGGTGTTCAGGGGAACATTGAATAAACTGTACTCTCTTTCTCTCCTTCATACTCCTCACCCCCAGCCCAATCTTCTGAACTTCTTTAAGGAGAAAGAGGGGAGAGAGAATGGGAGAGAAAGAAGACCCACCCACACACACTCTAACCTGATCCCCTCAACAGAGAGACAGCAGAGAAAAGCCATGCAGAGCAGCTCAACAAGACAAGTGGCTCAGCAGGTGTTTGCTGTGACCTGAGTCTGATCCCCCGAAACTGCAGTGGAAGGAGAAAACCCACTCCTGAAAGTTGCCCTCTGACCTCCACAGGTGTACTGCCACTCCTGTGTGCCCTTACTCACGTCCTGCACACACACACATATGTGTATGAACAACAATAAATAGAACTTAAAAAAAAAAACCTCACAAGTACAGAGGGGTCACTGTAAGCTCCCTCAAGAGATACATGAAAGCCACATTCTAAGGCAAGCAAACGCTCTTCTTCTTCTTTTTCTTCTTCTTTTTTTTTTTAATGGTTAAGACTCCAAAAGGCACCCTGTCATCTTCTCAGCCCTTCCCCTACACCCCAGGCCTCCTGCTTTGTTCTCTAAAGAAAGAGAACATTAAGAAAAACATCTCACTTCTGTTTGCTTTCTAGGAGAGGAAGAGGTAATCAGAGATAAGTTCTGATATCTCAGGCCTAGTCCTCTATTTGGGAGATGCAGACTAAAGAACAGGATTTCATCCCAAGGAGCAAAAACAGTCAAAAGCCAGGCACCCTTACGGCTGGGACTGAGGGCCGAGGGCTCGAATTTTGAGAGTGCACTCTTGTTTTCCTTCGGAGACAATATATACACATTTATTTATTCTGGGTGTTTGTGCACATGCATGCACGCACAGCATGTGTGTGGAGATCAGAGGACTGCCCTCCCTCGACCATGAGGGTCCAGGTATCAACTCAGGTCATCAGGCTCGGTGGCGAGCGCCTTTACCCACTGAGCCACCTTGCCCACTCTGGGGCACATTTTCAGGGCAGTGCTGGTAATCTTACAGTGGCCACCACAGCCCAGAAGACTACAATCTTCAGAGAGAAGAGGGTCTCAGGGAGCCTGGGCCCCCAGCAGCCTTGTGATTAGCGCAAGTCACAAGCACAGAGGCGGAGGAAGGGCCACCACGAAGCCTTTGGATTATGAAGAGATCTAATGCTAGAATCTCTGGGGGGTTAGGGGAGTCAATGACCCAGGAAAAATGACACCAGCTTACAGCCTCTGGCAATAGCCTGGGAAAGCACTTGCCAAGGGGAGTAGACACTCAGCAATGTTCTCAAACTGCAGGGATGATCTTAGAGGCACTGTATGACTCTGACAGGGGCCTCTGGTGGGGCCCGGGGCATTCTGGGACTTTCTTTCCCATGGTCACATCCTCTGTTCTTCTTCACAAGGCCAAGGGGTCCTGAATTTCCCTCTCTCCTCTACACCTTTTTGATGTTTCTCTTATTTAGAACACAAGCGTCTGCATTGTCAAACACGCTCCCTCACCCCAGGCTATTGTGGTCGGTCTCTGCAGGGGAGAGCCCACCAGTTCTGTTCCCCTTCTGCACACTTGCCAAGCTCATAAAAGGGAACAGGCCTGCCTGTCCCCAGGAAAGCAGGCAGTGCCCTTTGAGGCCACAGGAAATCAATCACAAGATCAGGCCAGCTCCCTCAACTGGACACTCAAACTGTCCGTTTGGCAGCGTGGTGTTTTCCCTCTCTACTATCACCTGTTTGGGAAGAGGAACCAACCTGGCAGTGCCACCACCTGCTGCTGGCTCTGGGACGTAGAGACCCTTGAAAACAGCAGGAAAGTCACCCATTGTACTCACCACCTAAGAACCTAGGCACCTGCTTCTCACAGGATGTAGCTTCCGTGTTTCTAGCGTGGACCTACTCTATGTCAGGTTGCTCCATACAGTTAATTTCCAGACTTTCGTGGTAACTCACACACTGTTAGAAGTGCAAGCGCTTCCCTCAAGAAACAAACTTGGAAAGTCTATAATGGGGGGGGGGGGGAGTTTCACTATAATCTACCTAAAGCAATATTTGTTCAGTTGCAACAATGTCATCAAAAGGGTGGGACGGGGGGGGGAGGGGCAGCTTGTCAGCCTTAAATTCTTTCCTTACAATAGTCAGGGCAATGGCTGAGGGCAGAGCTGCTTGCTGTAGCTTAAAGCCTCGAATATCGAACGTTTCTGGAAGCCAAGAAAGTTCTATTACAGAAAAAGAAAAAAAGTCAACGGTGCTTTAAGAACTGTTGGATTTCCCCAGCACATTACATTTACCAGAGTTTTGGTTCTCTACAGCCGGTTTGTAAGGGCTGTCGTTTGCTTGCCAAATAAGCATATCTTGGCTTCCGTGGCCAGGCAGGAACAGTGCCTTGATATTAAATATTTTAAGCAAAGAACCTCTGACCTGAGGGCCCTCAGCTAACAATGAATGACATTCTCTGTAAGCCAACCAGAAACCCAACTTAAGTCTGTGCCTCCAGTTTCTTTGCCTAGCAGTCTGTCACACGAGCCGAAGGAGGATGAGTGTTTACCACAATTATACTGAAAACAAAAACTCTGTAGCAAGAGGCTTGTTAGAGTCTGTCCCAGCCTCCACTGGGCAGAAGGTCCCGAGAGAAAGGGGAGTTAGGGATGGAGAAAGAAGCAGAGAAGGTGGCCATCCAGGGAGGTTACAGTTGTAAAGACATTTGTTACAGTGACACACTGCTCTGAAAATCATGGCCATGACCACACCTGCCACCTGCCGCAGCCTGCCTCACACCTTTGCCGGGAGGTTGAGTAGTTCACCAAAGAAAAGCATTGATCTTTGACTTGGCAGGAGGGAGTCCGTGTGTGTGTGTGTGTGTGTGTGTGTGTGTGTGTGTGTGTGTGGTGTGTGTGTGTGTGGTGGGTATGGAGGCAGTGCTGGCACCTTTTACTGTAGAGTCATACCGCTGAGTGTAGTTTCTGTTCTGTCAGCTCCTATCAGAATCACGGCATCTCCACTAGCCCTCCGGTCTTCCCAGCCTCGCTCCCTAGGGGCCGGCGTGGACTTTAGGTCCAGCGTGCCCTGGGCTGGTCTCCTTACATGGATACCCTTGGAAACTGGCTGGGACGCGCCCTGACCGCGGGGGTGGCCAGCCAAACGCAGCCCTTCGTCCAGAACACGGTAATCTTCCAGAGCTGGGCGTGGTGCCGGGCTCTGTTTAGGGATCCTCCAGTGAACACAGAAAGCCCGGCTTAGTCTCCGATGCCCGGGAAACTGAGGAAAGGTCAACGTCCGTCCTTAGGTGGCGGTGGCTCCCCGCTCCCACCACCTGAACACCAGGGGCACCCATCAGGCGAGAAAACTGCTTAGGGAGTGCACTTCAACTTTAACGCAAACAAGCCGTGCCCCTGCCGAGGCCAGCCCAGCCTCCCGTCCCCGGGGCAGCAGCGAGGGGAAGGCGGGCTCCCGGCAGGCAGGTGAGCGCTTACCGGAGAAGTCGGAGAGCGCGGCGGTCTCTTTGGAGCACACCAGGACGGTGCAGCAGAAGAGGCGCAGCAGCGGCCCCGGAGGCTCGACCTGCCTGCGGAGGCCGGGGCTCTGCGCCGAGGGGGGCGCGGGCGGCGGGCGCGGGTGTCCCGGCAGGAGCATGATGCTCGGCGCGCCTGGGCGCGGGCGCGGGGGTCGCAGGCTGGAAGACCTCGTCACATGGCGTGGCGACCCGTGGCCCGCGGCTCCGCGGCCCCCTGCCGCCTCCCGGTCCCGGCTTCAGGAGCTTCTTAGGCGCCCGCGGCCGCCGGGTCCGGGATCCCCAGCCGAGGGGAGGGGGCGGAGACCCGGGGCGGGGCGAGGAGGCCGGGGAGGCCGCCGCGCCGTCTCTCCACGCGCCTGGGCCACCTGGGGGGTGTCGCCTCGTGCCCTGGAGGGTTGCCGAGGCCGATCGGGGGCGCCGAGCCCCCCGCGGAGGGCGTCCCCACTCCCGATCCCACTGCTGCGCAACTTGAGCGCCTTCCACGGCCGGGTCTCGAGGCCGGGTGACGGCCGGGCGCTGCTGGCCCAGCCTGCGCTGGCCGCGCGCCAGCCTCAGCCCGGCCGGTGCAGCGGCGCGGCGGGGCCCGCTCCGTGACGCACTTCGGAGCCAGCGCCGCGCGTGCAGCCCTGGCCGGAGCGGAGTGGGGAGCGTGGAGGTGGGGTCCCGGGGACAGAGGCAGGACCGGCCCCGCCCGCTCCGGCGCTGGGTGTTCGGACACCAAGCTCGCAGTCCGCTCCAGAACCCCGACTGCGGGACCGGGTCTCCCACCTCTTGCCCCAAACCCCGCGATTTGCCTAGGCTCTTGCAACCCGGACCTGAGCGGGCTGAGGGTCTCAAACGTGTCACGAGGCCCTGAGCCCGGTTCTTTTGGCCCGGACAGAGCTTCCTGCGGGTGCTAGCTGACAGCAGCCCTCGGGGATCGGAACCGGGCTGGAAGAAACAGCCGCTGAGCGCCTATAATTGAGCTTTGTTTTAAAATGGGCCACGGGCATCTCTGGGACCCTCTTGACTCCTCGCGCTGTCCACTCGTTTGAACGTGCGTAGACCATGCGATCGGTGACGACACCAGCGACGAAGCGTGGGAGTCGAGAGTTGCGGGCCAGGGGCAAAGGTACTCAGGTTCGAGAGACCCCAGACCTGCGGACAGCGCAGGCGTCCAGGCCCAGCGGCGCCCGCGGGAGGGAGGAGGGCCTGGCGGGCGGGCGCTCCGCATAAAGTGCTCCCCATCCACCGCTAGGAGGGCTCGCCAAGTTCACCCAGCGCCTGACGCGGAAACGTAGATAACGAGCCCCGAGGGCGGGGCCCGCCTTCCAGCCCTGCCCGGCTCCCGGAGCCCCGCAGAGCACGCCGATGCTCTGCCTCCCTGTGGCGCTCAGAGGTGCACCACTAAGATCCACGGAGGACGACATCCACACCTCCTATAGAGGCTAGGTGGGCCAGATTGAGATCCGGAGGGTGGGAAGAAATGCTAAATATCGCCGGTTGTAGGGAGGGGTCCAGTCTGCAAGGCCGAACTTTAGAAAGAGTGCGTTAAAACTAAAGCACGGCCTTGGGCTGGAGAGATGACACAGCGGCTAAGAGAGCTTGCGCCTCTTCCAAAGGACTCGAGTTCGGATCCCAGCACCCAGCGATGGCAGCGTGCAACCACTCTGAATCTCTCAGCTCCAGAGAGGAACCTCAAACTCTCATCTGGCCTCCACAGACAACCCCGGCCCCATACACACATAAGCAAAAATAAATCTTTTTTTTTTTTTTTTTTTAAGCACAGCCTTAATAATCATGGGACGTAAGTTCAATATGAACACCTTTCATTGGGGAAACTGAGGCTAGGAGAGTGGGTAAGGTTGCTCAACTCACAGGGACCACCGGGAAGAGTGCTCAAACCTCCAAAGAAGGGTTTTGAAAAGTCTTGGGTGTGTAGAGCAGAGAAGATGGTGGGGTGTGATGCCTAGGAGACCCTGGCAGGGCCCAGCTCAGGTTCTGAAGGCCTGGCTGTCTGAAGTCCTTGCTTACTGGGTAGGTGTGTGGGGTACACGTGAGCATGCACATGGAGGCCACAGGACAACTTTGGGGTCATTCTTTGGATACCATCCACTTGTTTTTCTTTTGAAGACAGGGTCTCTCTCTGGCCTGGAGTTCAGCAAGAAGGCTAGACCGCTGGCCAGTGAGCTCTGGATATACTTGCCTTTCTCACCTGTGCTAGGACTCCACGCTTTTTCATCACACAGGTTCTGGGGATCGAGCTCATATGCTCGTGCTTTATGGGCTGAATCATCTTTTCAGACCTTAACGGGCATCTCTGCGCCAAACCAGTAAAAGGCTGCGGGGGAGGAGTGATCAGACATACGCTGGAGAAATGCTGCTATTGGTAAGGCCTAGGTTAGCTCAGTGAAGTTTGCTGAGACTACTCAAGGCCCTGGGTTTGGTCCCCAACACTGGGGATGGGGAAGAATCCTGTGGCAGCTGAGCACAAATGAGCTGGAGGCATCTCCAGCTGGCCTAGCCGGAGGTGATGGTGCATGCCTCTAATCCCAGCACTCAGGAGGCTGAGGCAGGAGGATTTCAAGTTTGAGTCAGTGTAAGGACATGGTGATATCATGTCTCCAATAAAAGGGGAGGCCTCGTGGAGTATGCACGCCAAGGAAGCAAAATTAATGACAGAAATGAGTGCTTGCACACCAGCACTCATTATTCACAGTAGCCAGAAGATGGAAGCGATCTGCATGCCCGTCAACGGATGGATGGATAACAAAATGCAGAATTTTATTTGGCAATAAAAGGGAGAGATGTTCTGTTATATGGTGCAACTTGGATGAACCTTGGATGACACTCCGCGAAGAGAAACTAACCAGACATAGAAGGACAAACAGACTATGAGTCCACTTTCAGGAGGCGTTTGGTCAGCAGGGCCACAGGGCAGACATAGACTAGAGGAGGGTGTAGGAAGGAGGTGGGCCGGGAGTTATTGCTTAATGAATACTTAAACTTCTGTTTGGGGTGATTTCTTTTACGTTCTGGAATTTGCGGGAACAGCACGATTACAAGCGCTGAGTTGTACAATCAAAAACAGTTGACACAAAAAATAAAAGTTGTACTTTATAAGTGCATCATAGCTTTAGAGACTCAGTAACGTAATAGGCCCTGAGCTATTGGATTATACATTTTAAACAAGAGAGTTAGTGGTATGTTAATATCTCTCAATGGAGCTGTTTTTAAAGTCACACTGTAGTGTGGGTCTAGAGACAGTCGTGAGGACAGGGCTGAGCGTCTTGCTGGCGTGAGAAAGCCAAGAGGGAAGAAGACTGAAAAGATTGTGTGTAGTTGCCCAGGATGTGTTCATATGGGTGCACATATGTGGAAGTATGTGGAGGCAGAGGTCAATCTTGAGTATTGTTCTTCAGGCACCATCCGCCTTATTTTATAAGGTCTCTCTTTAGCCTGGAGCTCATGATTCGGCTGGCTGCCCAGTGAGCTTTGCGGAGCCTCCCGTCTTCACCTCCCCACTGCCGGGATGGACTCCAGTCTTCAGACTTACACAGCAAACACTCTATCAACTGGACTATCTCCCCAGCTCTGGGGAGACTCTTGTGAAGATGCGGTGGGGGTAGGGGGTTGTGAGGCGTAAGGGAGAGGAGCCTGAACGTGACTCCCTGGCTTCTTTTGCGTTGCCTCTCGGTCTTTTCTGTAAAATAGACTATTTCATTCCTATTTTGCTTCCTTTTTCAAGAGGTTGGAGAAACGCTAGGCAGTTGAGTGTGTACTACTCTTGCAGACTGCTGGGTTTGGTCCTCAGCACCCACATCCAGCAGCTAACAACTGTGTGTCAGCCCACCTCCATGGCCTCCAGCACCCTCTTCTGGACTCTGTGAGCACCTCAAGAAGCATATACACAGAATTTGTTCTAAATGTGAAATAAATCTTTAAAGAAGGATTTTTAACTTGCAGAGAAAAAAAATCTAAATTTATTTATTCGTGTGTGTGTGTGTGTTTGCGCGCGCGCCATGCATATGTGTGGAAGTCACAGGACAACTCGTGGGAGTTGGTGCTCTCCATCCACCACGGGACTCCTGGAGATTGAGCTTTTACCCACTAAGCCATCTCCTGAGAATGGTGGACATCTGCCAAAAAAATAGCCCTGTCAGGCCCCAAAGACATCAGGCTTCCTCTGTTCCTTACTAGGTAGGGGGAGCCAGTCTTCCCAGATGGGTCCAAAGGCACCTGTGTGGGTTGGTCCTAACTGATATTTGTTACCTATATTTGTTACCTGATAGTAGTACCTATAGTCTACTCTGTCTAGAGCCAAATGCATAGGGTCCAAAAGTGTGCCATCTACTGACACTCAAATAGCCATTCTAGAGACCTTCAGTGCAATTCCAGCTCTGCTACTGAGAAACAGCTGCCAACGGTGGCATCTAATCCCACTGCACCTCATATTTTTAAGTGTGCAAAATGAAAAGTCTATTTTGGTTGAGGCTGTAGCTCAGTTGGTAGAGTTCATTCCTGTCATGTGTGGACTTAATACCCAGTACTGCTTTAAAAAGGAAAACCGGGAGTGGTGGTGCATGTGTAATCCCAGCAGTTGGGAGGTGAGTGTAGGAACCACAGAAGTTAAATGTTACCCTCAGCTACAAAGCAAGCTTGAGGCCAGCCTGACTGTAACAGACTCATTCTAAAAAAAAAAAAAAAAAATTGTAAAGATCCGTTTTGTGGAGCTGGGGTGATCTCAGCAGCTAAGAACTACACTGTTTTTGCAGAGGAGCCAAGTTCAACTCCTAGCACCCACATCAGGTGGTCATAACCACCCGTAATTGCAGGTGTAACTCCAGCTCCAGGCGACCCAACACCCTTTCCTGGTCATGTGAGTGCAGGCCCCTGAACTCAAATGCTCACAGCCCCACATAAAGATACACACACATCCAGGTAAGTAAAACACCGCATTAAGGGTTTGGGGGCTGGGAAGATGGCTCGGTGGTTCAGAGCTCTTGCTACTCTTGGATCCAGGTTGGTTTCCCAGCATCGGCTATGACTTTCTGTAACTCCAGTTCTAGGGTACCCAACATCCTTCTGTGGCCTCTAAGTACATCAGGCACACACACAGTGTACACCCACACATTCAGGGAAACACATGAGTTAATTACAAATAAGTGCATTGTTAAAATGAAGAAAGAAAAAAAGAAACAACGAAAGAAAGGTGCAGTGTTCTTATTTTTC